TTGTTTTGTTTTTTTTAGGACAAATTACATATTGCTGGTTATTTCGAGACTCTTGTATTAAGCTTACGTTCACACTGCGTTAAACCATAAATATTCTTTGCTTATAACACACCTGCTTAGCTTGCTGTGGGTTATTCAGTAGACGATGGTAAAATCGTGAGTAAATCTCAGGGGTGGGTTTCAACCGGTTCGCGGCGGTCCCTGCGAACCGGTTGGTCAGCGAACACGGAAGTAAGTAACTTCTGGGAACGGCGAAGGGCCCACCCGCGCGCCCGCGCTCCTTACCCGGTTTTGACGAGTTTTGCGCTGCCACGCATGCGCAGGACACATACAGCGCCTGCGTGATCCTCCAGGAGCAGCTGGAGCATCGCACAGACGCTAGTATGCATGCGTGCACTGCGCGCGTGCATGAGGATGCCGCCGGCCCCATTCCAACCGAACCGATTGGAACGGGGCGAGAAACCCACCCCTGGTTCAGAGTCATGATAGCCCTGAAAAAAATGGATATTCAAATACTTGGCAGCCATCTCACATTTACAATGGTTTGCCACATCTTGCGCTCATGCAGTCATGATATACAACCTTCTCAGCTGGCTCTGGACAAGCAAAAGTAAATTGGTAAACCCAGATTTGCTTCACAACCAGAGTGAATTGCTTAATGATTACAGTGATTCACTTAACAACCACAGTAAAAATGAATTGTTAAGTGATGACTCAGTTAACTGTGTCACTTAGCAACTGAAATTCCAGTCCCAGTTGTGGTTATGAGTACAAACTACCTGTAGTCTGAAGGGGCCTTTCAAAATTTGATATTTTTTCCATTTATTATAGTTTTTTAGTTTTCAGATAGGAAAATTTTAAGTTGTAACATACTTACTTCATATGGTCTTGTGATTCCTGCAATAATTGACTGATATACAGTCAATTATATACATGTGTGTTGTATACATGTATGATATAATGTATGTTTTTGTAAATGCTCTGCTGAAAAGTGTTACTCTTAAAGAAGTAGATGTAAGAGCACAGCATCTCATTTGGAGCATTAAAAAAATCACTGAATCTGCTATCTGTTTCATAAACAAAGAGGAATGCCATTATCCATAAGGGTCTGTTCTGTCCATCCACTTCCCATTTGAAACAAATGGAAAAGGCCTTCAACCTGTGGACAGAGGAACATGCCGCTCATCAAAGTAATCTGAAAAGGTGCGTGGCTTTCTGTTTGAGCACAGACACATTTCGCCTTGAGTGCCTTCGACGGTGCCCTTGGCAATTCTGGTTACCCATCCAACCCTGAAAATGGCTAACTTCGAGTGTAGCACTGCCTCCTTGAACCAACCAATGGACCCTCTGCTGATGACTTTCCAAGTCATATACTAGTTACTATATCGTCAAGATGTTGGTAACTATAGAAATACTGAAATGCTCCAGAACTTGATTATCTCTGTTCCCATAGGCTGAATGAGTTAACTGTGATTTTGTTATCCATGTGTAAATGTTGGTGTGCAATCCCTATGAATACCAAGGCCTAGTTTTTCAGTTTTATCTCTAAAGGGAGCTAAATAAATTCTTTTTTAAAATCAGCTCAACAGTATGGTTGGTTTTACAATTCTATGGTGTACAATTGTTATAACCTCTGCCTGATCCTCTCCATGATTTTGCTTTTCATTTCATGTCTTGTCATTATATGTCACATGACACTAATAATTTAAAACACTGATGCGGAATTTACTTCAAAAGTTAAGTTTTAGGAGAATATTGAATGCTCACTTTAGAGAAAATATTGTGTCTCAATAGAAAAATGAAGATCGTCCGCTCACTCAGATCCAATACGTAGCATGGCCTGATCATGGAGTTCCTGATGATTCTAGTGATTTCTTAGATTTTGTATGTCTTGTCCGGAAAAGAAGGGCTGGGAAAGAAGAACCTGTTATTGTTCATTGCAGGTATTATCATTATGGAAGTTCCTGTGGCCTCTTTTCTAATGCCTTTAACTGATAATGTTATTTCATTATACAATGTTCTAATTAATGATGTGAGACACACAAAAGCTAGTATGACATTAAGATAAGCAATTAAATAAGATAATAGTCAATAATATATTTCTTGGTTACTTTTGAATATCCTGTGTTGCAATGGATACGGATAGCTCCCAACCTTTAAAAATAGTTGGGACCAGAATTTCTGTCACTAAGCAGTGTGGTCATAAAGGGAGATATCATGTGACCCCATTATTTATGGATGGCCATTTGCTATTCCCTGTTACCACTGTTAACCAAGAATCCTGAATCATTAAACAAGTACCCATCTCAATCCAAGTCATTCTAGGCATGGTCCCTGCCAGCCCTGAAACTCAGCAAGGCAGGGGACTGTCTCCAATTCCCCCTGTTGGCCTCTCTCCTGTCTCTGCCCTTTTAGCTGCTCTGCAGCCTGCCTACCAGAGTGAGGAAGCAGCACCAGAGTGAGGATGTGCCAAAATGCCATCTCGGCTACACCTGCCACAAAATGAGGCAAACTGTACAGGAGTCCAAGCTCTATGTCTCTCCTTTTCTCTCCCCTCCCCCACCTCTAATTGGGAAGAAAGACCTTGAAGAGGGTTTAGTTCCTTGGAGCAAAACAAAAAAACCCACCCTCAAAATGGAATTTTTTGCACACTGGGGTAATGCAAATAAGAACACCAACCATGGGAAAGTCTGGAAGAGGTTTCATCTAATGGGAAAGCCGAGGGGTGTGTGTGCACAAGGAGCCATGTGCTGGAATGCTATGGTTGATTATTTTAGCTGTTATGAAATTATGTCATTATTAAAATAAATAATGAAATCCTCAACACGCCTGTACTTTTAAAAAATGTTTAGTTTTCAGAGTTACAAGGTAAATTTCCCAAAATAATCTACTTAAAGATGTGCCAAATTATTTTCAGTGGTAATTTATTTCCCAAGGGTGCTTTTTCAAGAGGCAACTGGACTTTGTTTTTCTTTGAAAAAGCACCTTTGGAACAATTATGACCTGGATGACTGAGAATCTCCATAGACAGTGGTGATTTATGTAAATTATAGAAATCTTTTAAAGATTTTAAAAGTATTAAATTTGAAAATAATAATATTTCTCTCCTTTGCAGTGCAGGGATTGGACGAACTGGAGTTCTTATTACAATGGAAACAGCAATGTGTCTTATTGAATGTAATCAACCTGTTTATCCTTTGGATATTGTAAGAACAATGAGAGATCAAAGGGCAATGATGATCCAAACACCTGTAAGTTGCTAAACAGAATAAACTATTACCGATAGTATACAGTTAGTTTTTGACTTTTGACCATAACAATGACTAGAAAATTTGTTGTTGAGCATTGCAGTTGTTAAGTGAAGCATTGCATAATCGCACATGATAGTACCAGTAGTAATAGGTACTTTGAATGCAATCCCAAAACAATTGGAGCACCACTTAAACACCATTTGCAGAAATTTACGTGGAACAACCTACATGCTCTGACAATACCCTTAACACCATCAAATAATGTCTGCCTATCCCAGGTCCTTGAGAAGGTCTTGATAGGTAGATAAAAGTGTCAAATGCAGCCTAAACATCTGGCTGATTGTGCAACTCTCCATAATACCAAAGTCTTACTGGTATAAGTTATTGATAGTTGTTTTATACTGTATTCCAGAACAGTTGAATTTTATATACAGTTAACTGTTCCAGAAAAGACCATCTGAAATAATTATTTTAAATCATGCTAAAATCAGTTGCACAATCAGACTTGTATTTAAATAGTCTTTTCCTAATTATGCAATCACATATGGTAAAAAGATACTGTCTTAAGACAGCAGATGCAAGTGGGGGGGGGGATCTATTTACCCGAGATGATCCATTTGAATTTTTGCCAGTTCTCCTTCTTGCTCAGTTTCTTTGCTTCATACCATATTCTTCTAACAGTTGAGTAGATTTTAAAAGAGACATATGAAGGCAGAAAAGCCCACTGCAAACATGTTGCTTTCATTTGTATGGATTCCCACCATGGGTTTGCAACTCTGTTTTGCATATAAGCATATTAAGCAAGACTTCACATTTGAAGACATGCCAGATTCTTATATTCTGGTGAATTTAATCTTCAAAAAAACTATGTATTTCACATTGCAGCTACCTATAATCTCCTAAAAGCAAAATTGTTTGCTAATGGATAATTTTCAGCACACAATTGAAAAATATGTTAGTCCTATTTGGTTCCTTGTATTACTCACAGTTTTCTTATGGAGTGTGTTCCTTTATGTTTATAGTATTTGGCTCAGGATAACATGTCATCATAGAAATATAGGCTTTAATTCAAAGAGTTTACTAGATACTACTGACTAACTAATAGTTTTAGGAGGAAAAGACAAAGAACAAATACAAAATCAGTATCTATACCATTTATATCTTGTAAGTTTTCTTTGTCAAAACATTATCAGTCATGTGTTACAGTTATTAAAAGAATGGTACTCTTGATTATATCAGTGTCTTCATTAAAATCTTTCTGTTGCCTAACCTTGGTTTTTGCCAAGAACGTTATTTGGGCAACTCATATATTTCTCTTCTATTCCATAACACACTTTTGTACATTCAGTAGAAGAAATTGGTAGGTTTCATAGGTGAAAATATTCTTGCTAACATATTTTTCTGGATTAAGGGGTATACTTGTTTCAAATAAAGCCATTAACCATGCTTCACTATATTTAAAATATGTGAGAGGAAGAACTGTACATTAAAACTTAAAGTGAATTTTAATATATATGAATAAGCTAGTACACTGTTATTTCAGTTATATGGTGTTAGAATCAGAATTAAGTTTACTTTACCTTTGCAAATTTGCACATTTCCACATAATATCCACAAGATGGCATTATCTTATTTTGCATTGTTCTTATTTTCAAACCAGTATAGTATTTGAATCATATTTATAGATTCACCCTGTGCCATTAAAAATAGTACCCTGTCACAATCACATATTTTACTTGATTTGCTTATTTGTTTAATTTGTTTATTTAATGGAGTTATTTACTGTCCATCTGATAATGAAATGACTTAGACATTCCAGTAAGTATATCAGTAATTAATATATGCAAATTAAAATCTGAAAAGTTAGGTCTTGGAATAAAGGGCTAGTCATTAAATCTACAGAATGTTGCAGTGTAATCATCTTCAGGATGGATAACAAAAATAAACAAGAAGTGGTTTTTTACATTAATATTAAAGATAAAACTAGTATAAGTTCATCAAGCAACACCTAGCTAACAAAATCATGATTTGGAAAGTAGTTTGTAGAGCATACAAACTAGAGCATACAAAATAGCAGGATAAGTACGGTTTTTATATATTATATATTAAAGAACCTAGAGTTCTTAATTCTATTAATCAGGAAGAGTAATTAATAAGGTATTAAGCATAAAGTATACAAAGAGTATCATTCAGAGTTGGAAGAGTTCAGATTTGCTACTTAAAAGTTAAGAGTATGGAATTTAGATTCTGAGTACTACATTTCTCATTGGTGTTAAGAGTTTTAGATATTTAAATATTTTGAAAATTTGGCATGGTATTTTGAAAGTTTATTGTTAATCCTTAATTTTTTTCATTCCGCCACATAAATAATTGCACTTTTTTTTTCCAGAGTCAATACAGATTCGTTTGTGAGGCTATTTTGAAAGTGTACAAAGAAGAACTTGTTAGACCTTTAAAGACATCACTGAATAAATAGGAAGCAAAATATAACTTTCAGAGAAGATTCTACATAAGACACAAACTGTACTTGTGCTATAATGTTTCTTGAAAGAAATGATGTCTGAAAATAATGAAGAACTGAAAAGGACTTCAGCACTATTGCACTTTAAGTTAAAACTGAAAATCAGTCTCTAAAACACTATGATTTCTCTGTGTTGAAAGACTCCATTCATGCTTTGCTTCAAACAAGCCACAGATTTAATGAGCTCCATGAGTTCTGGATAATTTTCCAGACTTGGTTGCAGTGCCATATAGCCCTTTCGTTCGAAATGCTACAAAAAAGAAAAAGGAAAAAAAAAAGCTTGGAATACTTTCATTCTTTATTTGACACCTGTTTCTAAAGCAACAACAATACATGCAAAGCTGTTTCTTCCAATGCTAAAGTTGTCATGTTATTTGCTACCTTTTATTTTGGTGAAATATTAGCAATATTCCTTTTATTAGATACACTGCCTACTGAAGCAGCACATTTCTCCCTGTGCCCTTCTAGAATCTAACCTGATTACTAACGGAAGGCTGCAGTATGATCTAACCCAATAACAGCTGCATAATGGCCCACTGAACCAGCATTTTGTTTAGTTGGTATATGAACATTCTTTGTACTACTAGTTCTATTGCTGTTTCTCAGCAGATTATAGCACCAGTGTGTTCTGAAACATTGATGGCGTTACCTATGGGAATGAATGTGTGTACTTTGTCTTAACCCCTTAAGTGCCTTGAGACTTACAGTGTATGTCTTAATGGCAAGGGACTTTGGCCCTCAAGGGGAAGCTATCATTATAATTAGATTCACTTTGAAATATGATCCTTGGTGCTTAGAATATGGTACAGTAAGGGGTCAAAAATACTGTTCCTAAATACTGTTCCTTTTCTCTCTATAAGTACCTATGGGTACATTTTATTGTGGGTAGCAAAAGCACTCTAGCTATGAATTGAAATGGAAATTCTGACACATTCCTTTCAACTGGTAAACTGCTAGCAATTTATAACTGAAAGCCAATGTATTGATTTAGAATTTGTTCTGTTTTTCCCTCGCATTGAAAAGTAGTAACTTGACTAAGATAACATTTTAATTGTATTGATCTTCTGCTTGAAATGTGGAGATCCAAGGTGAGATTTCCCTATCATAGTTATTTTCCTCCAAGTTCATGTTTGTTGCTTCTCAAGTCATGTTTATGTTTTTTAAAGAAAAATGTATCATTAAAGTTTTATCATTGTCCCCTGGAGCTTTCTGATAAGCTCTTTGGGTCTTTCTATGATATTTCATTCAGGAATTGGCATATACCGTTGGAATTAGCAGTATCTGAACAGGTTGCATATAGGTTTATTTTTTGTTTCATTCAAAAATGTTTCTAGGGCAGTTTAAAGCCCACTAGGCAATGAATAATTCTTCCTAGTTAAGTTGACAATTTAATTCTTTATGAACTTAAAATTGTCTGTAGTTAAATATTTTGATTTGCTACCAGGTTTTTAAAAAAACTGAGATATGCGGAATATGGAATGAGACTGACGTTTTTAAAATGCATTTGTGTGTGTGCGCGCGTGTGTATGTGCGCACATGTATAGAAAGTGAATGAGCATGTATGTATATGTATAGATATGCGCGCGCACACACACACACATACTTATATTGTGATGGGAGAGATTTACAGATATTTCAATAGATGAGGAGGCACTTTCTCCAAATCCCCTTTTCCTGCTGTCAGTTGTACTTTCTTAGAACTTGTAGAGGGCTGGAAATAGAGGTATCTATTTCTCATAACCGCTTCCTCAGAGGGATCCCTCACCTTAGATTAAGAGTCTTCCATGGACAGGAGAAATTTCTGTATGTAACATGATGCATTGAGGAAATTCCCAGTCAGTTTAAATGCTATTATATAACCCTATGCCATGATGTGAAATGAAGGAGTTAACAAAATCTTTTAGAATTTTTTTAAACAGGCTTGTAAGCTAAGCAGTATTGTTTCTTCACAAACCAAATCTAGCATATTTCTTTAATAATTCTTTATTGCCTCCACACACATACACATACTACCATCAAGGAATTAATCAGCTATTCTTTTATTACCCATCTTGTGGTTCAAGCGAGATTGAATTTGAGTTTGAAACACTTCCACATTCTTAAAAGAGCTTTTTCCAATCTGTAGAAATGTAGTTGTGTTTTCACAAACTGAAGCAAATGCGAAATACACTTCTATTTCTGACAGCAGTGAAAGTGAAGGGCTTTTGATAGGCTGTTAACTATTCTGTAGAAATAAGAGATTGGAGAGAGGAGTTTCATGTGATAAAGTGCAATGTGGGAACAGGCGTCCAGTCTGAATCATCTAAACTTGCCTTACACGTTGGTGTAAGCAATGTAAACCTTTTAATGGAATGTCTGCAGTGGTGATTCTTACTACTGCTAGTTTTTGATAAATGCAGATAATAAATGTACATCTACTCATGGTTTGCTTAAAAAGAAGCTTTGTAACTGGAAAGTGGGTGTTGACTCACATACTATTTTTAATTGTCATACCATTTGCTGGTTATTTGCAAGGTTGGTTTGCATTTGGAACAAGTTAAAATATATTAAATTATTATACCTATTATACCATTAATTAAGCCACTTAATGATCTTACTAATATATGTATGATTGCCTCTCTGTAAGATTGTTGAAGGGAAAAATCTAGGATGGGTCAGCAATATGTATTGTTAATATTGTACATACACTCATATTTGTATGTGAGGTGGTCAAAGTAATTTAAATCTACAAGAAACATTGCCACAACAAGATAAGCATTGTTGTAGCAAAGTTTTGGTATTTGGTATATTTATACAACATAGAGACAGAAATTTTAACTACCTTAATGTCTTCCCTCCAAGTTGATTTAGGAGTTACTAATCCATGCCAACAAATACATTTTGAAATTATATTTCCTTGGTAGGGTCATAAACTATAGGAATTTAAATGCCTAAATTAGATAAATAAAATAATAAAAGTATCCTTATGTCTTTGAAATGAATATTCAAATTACATCTGCCCACTATGATATTAATATTTTACTACTATTTTATACGACTTAAAAGTTAATACTGCTAATTGCTTTGCATTGGGTTATGAGGATCTGCATCAAGCTGAAATGAAAAATATTTTTGTATGTGTTTCATTCTGTATAAAACATGAAAATGTGTTTCAGGCATAATATCATAAAAATGATAAGTGTTATGGATGTCAGATTTTATGGAGAAATATTTTCTTACTATTTGCTAAAAACTGGGGAGAAAAATTGTAACATTTCCTATTTTCTAATTCAAATCGCTTTCCTTGTAAATAAGAGCAATAGGGTAATAGTTTTGTGCCAATGTATTTTTTTTAAATGTTGAAAATTATAACTATTTAAGGTACTTTTGAAGATTTGTTTCATGCAGAAATCTAGAACTCTTAAGACTTGTTACAATGGTTTTTGTTTTATTTTGCTATTTAAGTTGTGTGGATTTGGGGTGATGGGGTTATACCAAGTTAAATATGAAGTATCCATAGTCATTTTCTGAGGAATACAACTGGTTAATTGCAACAGTTATAAAAATCCCTCCAAATCTGAGTGGAATATGCATCTCTAGTGACAGAGCCATTCACCATTTGCTTATAGCTGAATATTGTGGGCATAGAAGCAGATCTCCTCAGATGCATTAAAATAGCCATGTCCCTATATTTTTATTAGTAGTAATAGTATGTGAAGAAAATTATTCTTGGTATAGTTGATGGAAACATTTGGACAAGTAACTTTAGTGTAAAAACTGGACTATGTTAAATTAGAGCATTACCTGCTGTTATAGAAACAATAAAGTCCACCATGTACTCTGCAGGCCAAAACATTTTACCATTTTAATTCACCTCCCCCTAAAATCATGCTGCAGTTTTCATCAACAGCTTTATATAAAGATTTCACAAACCTTTTCTACTTGTAAAATACACATTAATTCTAATATCTTCAAGTGTTATAATAGTAATTATCCTGCAATTAATTATTTAGAAATGCTGCTCTCCTCTAATCAGAAGGCCCAAAGTGCAAGTGAAGAGAGCTGGAGAGAGGTTTTTTAAATAGAACTAGTATAGGCGGCACTTTGTTGGAAGCAAAGTACAAATTAGAAGGTAACATCTATGGGAGGTGCAATGAATTGCTTCAGTTGCAGCTGTGTAGGGAGGATAAGTAGTAGAGAGAAAGTGGGATATCAGAAATGTTTACATCTGGTGGAGGGCAAATTCCCTTATATTTTTAGATTCTGCTTAATGGATAAGATTACAACTATGCAGGCCTTTAGTTGGCAATGGATGATTCTCAGTTCCCTGGGAATCTTTTGCATGTCTGCTCCAGACACTGTATTAAGCCATATATGTTTCATTCAAGTGTCCCTCTTCACTGTGATTAAGCTGTCTACGAGGAATGGAGACATCTCGTACTAGTAATCTTAAAGTAATGTATAGTTGACAACAATCTCAAATTATTTTGATTTCTACGTGTTTTAAAATTATATCCGTACATCTCCACATGATGTAAAGCATATTGACCAGAATATTGTCTGCACATGTATTCCACCCATATATAAGAGTAGTATGTTGAACCATACAGATTAACCCCCTAAATAAATAGAAAGTGTATAAAGTGGCAGGAAAGAATTCATCTTGCACTAGTTATTAATAAATTTCTAAATGTTATAAAAAAGCAGAGGACCAGAAAAATTCTTCTTCCAGAATCCCTATGAATTTTTACAATAAGGCTTTTTGCTGAAGAAAAGTTCCAGCAAAGATATTTCCTCCTCTGTATGCAGCCATTCACCATTTGCTTATAGCTGAATATTGTGGGCATAGAAGCAGATCCTCAAGATGCATTAAAATAGCTATGGTAGTGATTTATAGTATATCTAACTGAGCATAAAAATAATTTTGCCAGTTGGATTTGCTTCCAAGCAAATGAGTTGAGAAATGCCTTTTGAAAGAGATGCCTTAATTCAAATACAGTGACTTGGATCTAAAGATACCCTTGGCATTTGTGAGAGGTTTTTAGATTGCAGAAGTGGATTCCTGCAATAGCCTTCTGGACACCTTCCAAATGAATCTAGAATCCAAACATCCAGTGGATTCCCAAATTGGGAAAAGTTGCTTAACCATTTCAGTTTACTGTTACTACAGATCTGTGCCACAACACATGCCAATGGTTCCTAATATTCAGGATGGAATTTAAATTCAGAAAGGTCTAAACGTGCAGGATTTTTTAACTCCGTCTATTATATTCTGGGGAAATGATCTCATTTTTCTGATAATGCTGCGCGTTTGTTACAAATCTGTTTTTAGTGATTGAGTGTGGATTGGTTAGTTTTAATATGCAGCTGCCATGTTTTCATAAACATGGAAGATAAACTTTTTCAGTTAGTGCTATTGTCACATGCTGCAAAATAAGGAATACGGTACAAACCTAAATCATCTAGTTCACTGTAACATTTAAATAGTTTATTTTAAAAATGGAGAGACATTTAAAACATGGGAATTGCTAGAAGGGACAAACTAATATATTTGTTTTAATTTAATTCTGTTATAATGGCTAAGCTAGAAATGCAAACCAAAGCTAAAATACTTGTTTCTCAATCTTCTGAGTGGAATAGCAAAAAATAGGGGGGGAAAACCATCTTGGTTTGGATAATTGCCTATCTGGAGCTTTGAAGGTTTCATTCCCCAGGTTTAAATATTCTTTCATATAAACTGCAATCTGGGTCATTAGAATATTTAAGGAAATAATTTCACTGACTTTATGGTAAAATTATATTGCCTTAAGTAAAATGTTACTGTTGCATAACTCCTACATAAAACTTTGAAGACCACTATACTAATATTTTGGAAAGTATTCCCCTGGGAAACAAAAGTGGATACTTTGGAAAGTAAGAGTTTGACAATATTTGCTTACTTTTTACTTTATTTAACATCATTTCACATGTATTTCATTTTTATCTAAATTTCTTAAAAAGTTCAAAATAGTAGCACTTTATATAATGCTTTACTACTGACAAACTTTTTAGATAAAACAAATGTATTATATGATTAGAGAGATGTTTAACTTAATGAGAGTTTATTGGGGTGATTCCTAATGTGAATGCTTTAAAGCTTACCTTTCCTTTTGCTTCCATCCATGTTAAAATGCATTAACTCCAAATTCTTAATCTTGCCATCTTCCAGATAAATACTTAATATTAATGGTTCTGTATCCATTATAGTGCTAGGACAGCATATTTCATGATATAGCAATGCAGTTCTGAATTGCAACACCTTTTTTCAAATTTAGTTTCAGAATTGTAATAATCAGCAATGAGATTAAAATATCCCCACAAATAGTTATCAGGTTTTTTTTATATTTAATTTTCTCAGTATCTGCTATTTGCCATAAATGAAAAATTTATAATGGCCAGTAGTGTACAATTCAATGTCTAGTTATTTAGACATTTTCAGACTTGGGAGACCTTGGAGGAAAACCTCAAATGCAGCTTAATTATGAAAGCAAAAATTACTGAAACTTTAATATAAATGTGGGAAAGATTTACATGCCCACGAAATGCTTTGATTCCTGTTTAGCATTTTTGCATTTCTTTTAAAATCTATAAATCAGCAAAAGTTGTTTGTAGAGTAAGTAGTGCACAAAAATAATTTTAAGAGGGGAAAGTTGCAATTTATATAGGTAAAGTCTATAATAGAATTGGAGATTCTAAAACAATTAGCACTATGTTGTATTGTATTCTATTGTTTAATAAACTAACCAGTATGATTATTTCCACACATTAGAGGCTGGTTTCATGGGTAATGGTAATATGGAGATTAACTAATGATGCGATTCTCCAAGCAAATTCTAAAACAATTTTGTGTTTATGTGTAGGATTTCTTTATTTCCTTTTTTTCTGGCACAGGTGCTATTCTGTATGTAAATAATAAAGGATATAAAATTTAGTGTCTGGATCATATCCACTGTTCTATGGGTGGCCATATTTATTTTTTGCTGGAATGAATTTGCATGTATTTTGTGATTTTGTGTTGTCCAGTCTATCTGGATCTACACTGCTCAGTGAATGGGCTTTGACCATCTCATTTATATCTAAAGCCAAGATAACTGGCCATCTTTTGTTCATTGTGCAAGTTTGTTCTCATAGAGATTAATTTGTCTTTGAACTTGCGTGTTTTCATTTTTTAGAAACCAAGATAATTCAACTAAGAGCCTGTATATTAAATAGCAGGAAATGTGGTCCGTTTAACATGCACTTCAATTTGTTTAACACGACAATGTGGAAAGAATTCATCATTCATCACTGCAGCTACTGTATGTGTTAAAAGGGCCTTATATATTTTGCCTGCATTGGAGTTATAAGGAGAGTCCTCATCATTAATAAGGTACACTAATGATATACAATACCAGCAGCTCCCAGAAGAAAATAAATATTTAACATTTAACAAATCTTGTTTTTAGTCTTAAGAGCAAATTCCTTCTATTATGTGAAACCTATGCTGTTATACATATTTTGTGGATATATTTAATTTTGATTGACAAATAGTTGTCTAGGTACAAACTTGAAAATATATAGTTTACTTGTGAATCTTAATTGTTTAATTGCAAAATAAAGATGTGCTTTAGTAAAAATGTTAAGTATTTTTTATTATGAAAACCTGTGTCTTAATTATGCTATATTACTCCCTATTATTTGTATAAATTTTGGAAATTCTAGGTACTTATTTCCTTACAAATAGGAATTCATGCTCCGTGTAAGTTTGCACATACTTGCCCCCAACCAGCACTGAAACTGTATGTTTAATCCTACTTCTATTAAAAAGTACGAATGAGATGTTTTATTCTGGGCCTACCCATTGCTTTTTGGATTACTTTTCCCAGCATCTTATTCAGAAGCCAAGTAGATTTTGAAATGAAAATGATGAAAATAGTCTTGTAATAGGTATTTTATTTATGCTTATATATTAGACCAATAGATGATGCTCAAACCAGCTAAGAAACCAGAAAATATAAACAGTGTAATTCATACTTAAAAACACCAAATTTAGCTCTACCATAAGACACTCATATTACACTTCTAACTTCCACTGCTTTATATTACTGCATATCTGTTTTTAATCTCTATTATGTAGCTCCAACAATTTGAAGCAGCTAATAAATTAAATACAGAATTACAGTGGAGCAAAAAAGTATTTAGTCAGCCACCAATTGTGCAAGTTCTCCCACTTAAAAAGATGAGAGAAGCCTGTAATTGACATCATAGGTAGATCTCAACTATGAGAGACAAAATGAGAAAACAAATCCAGACAATCACATTGTCTGATTTGGAAAGATTTTTTTTGCAAATTATGGTGGAAAATAAGTATTTGGTCAATATCAAAAGTTCATCTCAATACTTTGCTATATATCCTTTGTTGGCAATGACAGAGGTCAAATGTTTTTTGTAAGTCTTCACAAGGTTGGCACACACTGTTGCTGGTATGTTGGCCCATTCCTCCATGCAGATCTCCTCTAGAGAAGTGATGTTTTGGAGCTGTCGCTGGGCAACACGGACTTTCAACTCCCTCCAAAGGTTTTCTATGGGCTGAGATCTGGAGACTGGCTAGGCCACTCCAGGACCTTGAAATGCTTCTTATGAAGCCACTCCTTTGTTGCCCGGGCGGTGTGTTTGGGATCATTGTCATGCTGAAAGACCCAGCCAAGTTTCATCTTCAATGCCCTTGCTGATGGAAGGATGTTTGCACTCAAAATCTCACAATACATGGCCCCATTCATTCTTTCCTGTACACAGATCAGTCGTCCTGGTCCCTTTGCAGAGAAACAGCCCCAAAACATGATGTTGCCACCCCCGTGCTTCACAGTAGGTATGGTGTTCTTTGGATGCAACTCAGCATTCTCTCTCCTCCAAACTCCACAACGAATTGTGTTTCTACCAAACAGTTCTACTTTGGTTTCATCTGACCATATGACATTCTCCCAATCCTCTTCTGGATCATCCAAATGCTCTCTAGCAAACTTCAGATGGGCCCGGACATGTACTGGCTTAAGCAGGGGGACACGTCTGGCACTGCAGGATCTGAGTCCCTGGCGGCATAGCGTGTTATTGATGGTAGCCTGTTACGTTGGTCCCAGCTCTCTGCAGGTCATTCACTAGGTCCCCCCGTGTGGTTCTGGGATTTTTGCTCACCATTCTTGTGATCATTTTGACCTCATGGGGTGAGATCTTGCGTGGAGCCCCAGATCGAGGGAGATTATCAGTGGTCTTGTGTGTCTTCCATTTTCTAATTATTGCTCCCACAGTTGCTTTCTTCACACCAAGCTGTTTGCCTATTGCAGATTCAGTCTTCCCAGCCTGGTGCAGGTCTACAATTTTGTTTCTGGTGTCCTTGGACAGCTCTTTGGTCTTCACCATAATGGAGTTTGGAGTGTGACTGTTTGAGGTTGTGGACAGGTGTCTTTTATACTGCTAACAAGTTCAAACAGGTGCCATTAATACAGGTAATGAGTGGAGGACAGAGGAGCCTCTTAAAGAAGAAGTTACAGGTCTGTGAGAGCCAGAAATCTTGCTTGTTTGTAGGTGACCAAATACTTATTTTCCACCATAATTTGCAAAAAAATTCTTTCCAAATCAGACAATGTGATTGTCTGAATTTGTTGTCTCATTTTGTCTCTCATAGTTGAGGTCTACCTATGATGTCAATTACAGGCCTCTCTCATCTTTTTAAGTGGGAGAACTTGCACAATTGGTGGCTGACTAAATACTTTTTTGCCCCACTGTACATATAACTTTAGCTGCCAAAATACAGTACTACATTGTATTATGGCCGGGCATCTGTTTTGCCTGTCAACAGAAAAATAAAGTATAAGATACTAGCCAGATCACTTTTCTTAGGAATCCCAAACTCTAAACAACCCCCAAGTTTCATATTTTCTCAGAGGGAAAAGGCCTAAGTCCTACTTAGGAAGAAGGAAAGTTCCATAATTGCTGACATTTATATGACTTTATTCACAGTATTTACTGCATTATCTTTTGGGTAGGGCTGTTGTCTAACTGCAACAACTTGGGTAATATAAATCTTTTGTCACACCCATTCTTAATTCCCATTTTCCAATAGTGATCTGTATATGTGTGTATGTGTACTTCATGTATATTTTTATATATTTGTTACAGTATAAGCAGATACTTATTTGAATCTACAAAGCAGCAGATGGAGACAAGTTTCCTGAAGCCCTCTAACGGTGCATCTGAAATATTTTTTGGGTGAAAACAGACATACATGGTTTCTTTTGCTGTGAGAAAGACCAGTTTCAATCCCTAACTTCTAATGATATTGTCAATATACACAATATACAGAAGAACAACCCCTAGAATCTCAAAAGTGAAGGCAATGCCAAGTTAGTTCAATATGTCGATTACTTGATGTGCAGTAGAATATTAATTGAATAATGGATCATGTCATCAGAAAAGCTGGAAGAGAAAACCCAAAGAAAATGCACCAAAAGTATTTGAGGAAAAATAGAAAAAAAATATAAAGTAACTTCTGATATTCACAGCATTAAAAGTACAAATACATTTTAACCTAAAGTTACATTATTTTTCTTTCTATAATTTATCCTACCTAATCATCAAAACCATAAACCACAAGTTTATTTTCTGCATAGTCGGTATAGGATATGGCTTCAAAGTTCAAAACACCACTACAACTGACTGTATTTTATATTACAATTTCTATGCACTATAAAAGATAGATCAAATTGGAGCACATCACAGTAGTCCAACCTACTATCTGTCAACCATGAATTACACTAGTCTCCCACCTGGTTACATTTGGTCTGTAAAATGAAAAGACCCATTATTGACCAACATTTTGGTCTAAATTTACACGTTTGCTTAGCAGATTTTTGATGGCTAACTAAAGTTTGGAAGGGGGGGGATCAGAGTTTGTGACTCCAGATTTAAATACCAGTTGAACCTGAGGATGTTAGGGTGAATTAATCCAGAATATATGAATGCCTTCTAATGCCCAGAGCTAGTAACAGCATGTTACTCCTCCCCTAAATTAGGATTTGGATCTCCATCCTCCTAGAACACTTGTTGAAACATCTGTTTGGCAAATACCTGAAGACATGCCTGTTTGATTATGCTTTCCTAATAACTACTCCAGGATTAAATGGGGTTTTTTATAGATTGCCTGTGATAAAGTTTACCATATTTTGGTTTTATTTGTTTTTTTAAAAATATAATATCCGCAGGACAGCGAGTCGTCAGTTCAACAGAAACTGTTCAACAGAAAACTCTTTAAAACTCGGCTGCTCTTTCATGCTGGTCCGAATTTGGGTAGCCCGTCATATTATCCTTTTCCATAAACTCAAAGCGGTGTTTGACTCAAAACAATTGACTCGAAAAGCCTTAAAAGAGAATAAAACGACCCTAGTCGATTTATTTTATTTATTTTAGTAAACTACTTAAATGATTCGTGTAGGGTTTCAGGAGTCGCCAAGTGTTGCTTTTAAAGAGGTAGCAACCTTTTTTTTAAAAATCCGAAAAGAGTTTGGAACGTGGCGTGGGAACCCCCGAAAACCCGGGCACCTTCCTAGATATCTCGCCAAAATACAAACACACAGACAAATAGCCACGCGTTTCGCCTTGCCGACCTGTCTCGCCTGGAACCTCGCGCGACCAGTTTTAGCAGAGGAGGCCCGGACGGGCAGGCAGGCGGACGAGGGAAAAGCAGAGGAGGAGGAGAGAGGCGGCTCCCCAGTCTCACTCGGCGGCCATTTGCCTCCGCCCCTCGTCCCTTTCCTCGTTGCCACCGGGATCCGATCCCGCCAGAGCTGCTTTTTAGCGCCGGCGGCCGAGTCGCGGAGGAGCGCCCTTTGGAAGCAAAGGCGGCTGGGCCGGTAAGTTGGGAGGACGTGGGGTGTGGTGGTAGTGATTGTTATAAAAGCAAGGTGAAGTTTCCCCGAAGAACCCCGCGACCAGGCTGTTGCTTCTTTCCTTTGCTTCCTCCGTCTTTTTCCCTTTGTCGCCCTCGGGGATCGAAACTCTCCAGAGATCTAAGTTTCGTTTCCCCTTCCCTCTTCTCCTGTGGCCCGCGAGGTTGGGTCGGTCCTGTCGATCCCTGGAAGGGGGGGCAGGAGAGGGGGAAGTCTTCAGCCTTTTTGGATGCCTCTAGGGTGGCCGCCTCCCTTCGCCACCGACACACACACACACACACACACACACACACACACAGACAGACAGACACCGACACCGACACGCGCGTCACGCCTTGTTCAGATGACCTTTTCCTCCCCACCCTACTCCCCGGATCTATTGCTCTTGTCGAACCGCCCCAAAAGGTGTCGCGCGTCCCTGTGACAAAAGCGCGCTTAAGATGGGAGATAAATGAGTCCAAAGTGCGTCGAGGCAGGAATTTTTTAAAAAGTGATTTTAAAATAGAGGATTAAGGCCGTGGTTTTCTGCCTAAACGCCTTGATCTTTTCACCCACGAGAATAGTCGTCTCCCGCTGACCTGGAATTTTGTGGTGTTTCTGAAATATTCTCTGCTCAGTCCTTATAAATTTCCCATTTCTTCCGAAATCCAGCCAATATGGAAAAGGGGAAGTGCTTGACTCATTGGTCCCTCCCC